TTTGGAAATCACCAATATGTTTTACACTATTTGACGTGACTTAAAATGGGGTATAACTGAAATGACGACTTCACTAGAGAGTTTAGATTCTAAAACATAATAGACTTAGGTTAATATTTGCGTTTTGAATATTTGCTTTTTTCATTTTTTTTGTTTGTTTAATTTTAATGGCTTAATGCTTTATTTTTCATGCTTATTTGATATAAATTGATTATTTGTTACTGCTTTATATAAATTGTTTATTTGTTACTGTTTAATATAAATTGTCATTCCGGTCACACTTCCTGCGATTCTGAAAAATTCACACTATCACAAGTACACGCGAGGTGTGTTTTGCGCACCTGAAATTTCATTTAAAAACCAAAAGTTTAGGAGAGTTGGTGTATGCGTGGGGTGTCCAAATCTTCTTTTGTGTGACCGTGTGGCCTTCTCACTAGAGTTGTCCACTCGGGAACCTTGTGTCTAGTAAACCCACTCTTAATCAACCCAGGATAGAACTATACCAATACCTTTATAGTTACATGCATCATTCAAACTTAGGAGGCTTACTATCCTTTGTATATGTTAAGTTCACTAGTCAACTTTATCCAAATGTCCAAGTGGGTTCACGACCCCGAGTGACTCTTATCATTTATGTGTGCATTATTTGAAAATAGTTGTGCCAAAATATTGACCGCTTTTTCTAAATTAATTAAACTTTAGGAGGGTGGTTATTACTAACCATTTTGTGATGCATATGACTGTGAAGATCCCAACTTTTGGCCCACGGAGATTAAATCACGAGCAAGCCACGAGACGAAGATGCGTAGATGCAATGGAGAACTTTATTTTTATTCTTTTTTGACTTGTCATAAAACTTAAGGTTATTTTGGTATTTAACTTTGGGAATGGATTTGTTTAATTAATTAAAGAGCAATGGAATGACATATTTTGGCACATTTATTTTTCAAATACGCGTTAGGCCTACCACTGGAATAAAGAGGTCACCTATATATTAGGACGCATTATTTGATATACTTGTGTTACGTGCTTTATAAATATTTGACTGCTTACTTGCTACGTGATTTATATGAAATTATTTGCAACGTCATTTTAATTGACTATTACTAACACCATCTTTGTTTTTTTTTCTTATTTTCAGAAGAGAAAATTATTTGCCTTTACTCATTTCTTTATTTGATTACCTATTGCATCTTTACAATTTCTTATGTCACCTTCATAAACTTTTTTCTTTTATACTTGTTTACGCAAATTTTAAATGACCTTGTAATATTTTACAAAAACTCACTTTCTTCCTTTAAAATTTTAAAAATGTTGATTTCCTTCCTTTGATATTCTCAATATTCATATCCGTGACTTGCTTTAAGAATTTTTTTCTTACTTTTTAAAAATTGGCATTATTGTTCGAAATTTGGTGTGATATTTTTTGCCCATTAACATTCAAAAAATTTATAGACTCGTGCCAAAATTCACTCTTATAACTCTTTACATTCTCGAGATTTTTCACATCCCTCCTTTACGGGTATAATCCTATCTTAATAACAACAAAAGCTTTTTGATCTATGTTATGGAGCTTTTACTTCATCTTTCAATTTCTTTCAATTTTCATATAATTTGGTGCTTCTTAAATTTGTAGATAATTCGCGCAACCTACCAAATAGCACTTCTCGATATTTGTTCATTTTTTCTCCATCGAGTGCAATATTTATTCAATTCAAAATAGTTATGTCATTATTTTTATGCACTAATTCCAAGTTTTGGCATGCAAATCAAGGGGAAATCTTGTTCGTCTCTAATTGTTTTACACTACCTCCATCCTAGACAATTGTTTTAAAAAAAAATCCGCCAATACTAAAATAGAGTTTAAGGTCATTCAGTCTTTTGGTGTATCAAGTCCAATCCTTGTGCCTCTTACTAACCTTAACTTTCTTATCAATTATTTTAATCTTGACCCTGTCACCAAGTTTATATTTTTTTTTAAAAAATATCCTTATAGAACTTGATTTATTCGCTTCTAAATGCTCTACTCTTGATATTTCACATACTTACTCCACGCTTACCAAATATTTCACTTTCCTTCCAAAGGGTTTAGTTAAGTTGAGCATCAAGGGTCAAACAAGTTCAAGGACGTTAGGGCCAATTGAATTATTATTGACTTAGTTGAAGACGAGTTTAACTATGATGAAGCTGAATCATAACATGATAAAATTGCTAAGCTTGAGGAAAAAGTTGCAAAAATGGAGCAAGAAATTGATGGCATCAAGGAAATGATAGCCGATCTTAAGAACTCTTCGAATGAAGACTGATTGGATTATGATCTTAAAGACTCCTCCGATGAAGACTTAGAGGGATAGTCTCCTATTCGCGCAACTACATATCCCAAGTTTGATTGCAATGCCCAGCACTTTTCAGACATGCATCCATTTCCATAGGATGAGGCATTTGACAATTCAAGTGAAACAAGCAAATATGGAGAAAATTGTCGAAGACATTTTAATACCGAGACTAACCAAATTTCTTCACAAATGAGCTTGTTCCACAACTTGGGAAAATTTTGGTCGAGATGGAAAATGAGAACGAGACACCTTATAATCTTTTTGATATTCCAATGTATGATAGGACATGTCTTCCTCAGAACCACTTGAAGGCATATCTCAATTGGTTAGCAAGCATAGGGCAAGGAAATGAATTTAATATGAGACTTTTTGTTAGGATGCTTACAGGGCCAACCTTGATGTGGTATGCAAACCAAGACACATAGAAATGGTTCACTTGGGTCAATATGGCCAAGGATTTTATTAAGAAATATGATCCTCCTAATAGGGCATCTAAAGGGTGTTGTTTGTTGAAAAAAAAATCTATAGAGTCTCCTGAGGGAAATAAAGTTAATATGAGACAAGGAACATTATGGAAGATGGAAATACTTCCACTCTTCCTTGTAGAGATATCAAGAAGTAGGATCAAAGTAAAGAAAGACAAAAAGGAATTCATTCAGCTATACCATCAGAACCTATCACGACAAAAAGAAAATGGTCTACCGAAGGCTGGGAAGGATTAACTTAAGTGAGCTATGGATAGTCAAATAGAAAATGGTCTACTGAAGGTTGGGAAGGAGTACGTTCAACGAGTTGGGGACAACCTAAGGAGGATGGTGGACCATCCGACTCTCTTTGGTTAAAAGGAAAATTGTCTACCAAAGGTTGGGGAAAAGCATCTTCAGCGAACTAGGGACAATCAAAAGTCAAATGGGGACAATGTACCACTAGACTCTATCTAAACTAAAAGGAAAAGATCAGATGAAAGCTGGGGAGGAACTTCTTCTTCTCAATTGTTGGGAAAATCATACACAAAAATTTGGCCCAAAAATAAGCATGCACCTAAGGCTAAGTGGTCAAACATGCAGACAAGAGGTTTGGGAGGAAGCTAAATTAACCATTTGGTTCTAGATTAAGTAGGTTGTATGTATCTAGTTGAATCATCTACAACAACTTTTACATTCTTGCTAGGACTTTCTTAAGAGCTAGGTAATGTAACTATCGTCATCCACTTGTTTTTGTACTGGTTCGGTAGGATATTTTGTAGAGATCGACCTAGGAATGACCTTAGCAAGATGGAATGGTAACTACTCAATGTACATTTAATTTTATGTATCTTATGAACATCAAGGAATTAAAGGAAAAATAGATTCTTAAGAAGCCAATTCTCTCTCTCTATGTCTCTCTCTTGATCTACTTTACTATGAATAATAGAGGAAATAGTAGATTTTATTCATGTTGTCAATAAATGTCTCAAATAAAAGCTACCCAATTTGATGAGTATAGTTATTCGATATTTGTGCTGGAAAGCGATAGCAAGTGTTCGATATAATAGTCGAAATGTGTGCGATCTAAACCCCACACCATCATTATAAAAATAGAAAAATCAACAAAGAAAGACAATCAATCAGAAAAGTTTTATCGAATTTCTATGACAGTAGAAACTTGATTCCAATAAAAAACATACTAAAAGAAACAAGGTGAAACAAGGTTTTTAAGTTCTAGTTGAACTTAACAAGTCAAGTTCGGTGTAAAAAGCATCCTGCATTAACACAGGGTTTAGAAAATTTATTTAACAACATAGTCTGATATAATAATGATAATAAAAATATAAATTTTTTCTCCTCTAACACTCTTAATATCATTGGCAATAGCTATAGCATCCATTGAAATACCAGCAATCCCTATTTTTGAAAATCCAGCACAATAGAGTCCATTCTCTCCTTTCCAATTTATCAATGTTCCATCTTCAAGGAATATTGAGCTATAATCATACATACAAAAGATTTTTTTTTACATTATTTGAAACAATGATGGTAAAATTAATTGTAAGTGAAACTAGTAACTAGGAAAATTTATTGAGAAAAACTTATCCGCACACAATATTTATGGGCAATTCGAAAATTTCAAGACTCTAATTTAGAATTAAGAAAAAAAGAACATAGGGATAATTTACAAAACGTACCTTTAGCCATTTGGTGGAAATATTCTTGTATCCAGTAGCAAAAATGATTGCATCAACTTGATGTTCATCCCCATTGTCAAACACTACTGTATGTTCCTTTATTTTCTATATTCCAGGAAGTACCTAATTAACTATTCACCAAAAGTTATTTTACAAAAAAAAACAAGTATTATTCCTTTTTCACAATCGAATATTAATGCATATTAGATGAACTATTTACACAAATTTATTGTATTAGCCAAAATTACTAAATTCTACCAATTTTGTAACTATAACACTTCAACTGTTGCCCATGATAATGAACATGTATTTTACTCTTTTTCATTAAATACTACTGCTAGGTTCTTCGCATTAATCAAATTTGAACTCGTGATGTGTGCCTAACCATACATCACATGTTGTAGTTTTACTATAAGATCAAAACCCTCGGAGAAATTAAATCCATCTATTTTTTTCACATAATATTTCTCCAAATAGAATGAAATAAAATAAAGATAGTATCACACCTTAATCTGTCCAAGTTTAATCTTGTCAATGGCACCAACATCAATTACTGGGGATCTACCATTTGATATTTTAACAGAAAATGGGCCTTCTTCTGGTTGTGGTATTCCTAATTCTTCTAAATTTCCAAACTTAAATTTAGTATACTTTGGAATTACAGTATCAACTGAAGATACCGGTAAATATATTAGCAACAACGTTGCAGTATACACCATCTCCCTTGTTAGAACATGAATCTGCAAAAACATTAGGACAAAATATATTAAAACTTTTAGAATTAACAACCATATTTATCAAATATATAATTGATTGTGCATGTGAAAAACTTGCATCATCTAACTATAGAAAAGTTATAACACTTTGGGAGAACATCATGAACTATACTGTACATATTTATGGGTGTAAGTTCCATATTTTGACGATATATTAAATAAGAAGTACAAAATCAGATCAATAATGTAATTGTATATAAGTTGTAGTATTCAAAAACATAGATCAAAGTTGGTAACTGGAATTATAAAAGGTTCTAAAAAAAGAAATATATATGAGTAATGCACAAAAGATTAAATTAAAAGAGAAATCTCAATTTCATATACAGTTAGTGAAAATAATTTTTTATACTATCATTTATCTAGTAATCTAACTGATATCTATAGACAAGTTTCTTCAAAATTATGAGATTCAAAATCTTAAAAAGTAAAATATGTTATCTGTGCAACATGTAAAAATGACGATGTATAAAATTGTTAATAAGACAAACTTATTAAAAATAAAGAATCTACTTATAAGAAAAAGAAACTCTAGTTCTTTTTTTTGAATTCAGTTCCTCAAAGTAAAAAGTATATGAGTTGTTTATACTTATACTAAACAACTTGTCACCTCTCCAAATCCTTCTCTTCTTTTTCTCACAATATAAAATACCCGATGAGACCTGAATATTAAAATTTCTAATAATGTATGATTTAGAAATGGAATATTGAGATTTTCTATGGTTTTAGGATATTTAAATATCTATCCCAAATTTTTGTATTTACAATAATCCAACACAATATTCCTTAATCACTTTCTAATCAATCAGTATTCCCTTTTTAAAGAACAACCGATTTCATTAAATCAACTTTGAATTCGGAATCAAGGTTGTTTTTACAATTTTGTATAGTGCTTCGAAAGTACGTTTGTGAAATTTAACACAAATGATGAATCGGTGGAATTATTGGAGGTGAAGCTAATTCAAAAATTTATTTTTTAGATAAGAAATACCACAAGGGTACATATGACTGGGTGGTCAACAAAGTAGAATGAAAATCATCAGAAATCATGTTCATATTCTGGCCCTTTCACATAAGGGTAGGACACCCATACAAATCTCTTGATGAATCGAGTTACAACATTACAAGGGCTAGTAAAAAGTAACAAGTACCATGTAAAATAGTTGATGTACAACTAAACTGATCAAACACCACCTTTTAATTTTTTTTATAACAAACACAAACCTACTCACATGGAAACAAATAATGATAAAAGTAATTATAAGGCATAAAAAGATAGAAAGACTTACTGGACTTCTAACAACAATTGATTTGAGACCTTCATAACTTGAAAGATCAAAAGCTATTTCCATCCCAGAATTTCCTGATCCAACCACCAATACCTTTTTATCTTTATATTTTTCACCAGATCTATAATCACTTGAATGGATTATTTCGCCTTTGAAATTTTCTATTCCTACCATTTTTTGAATATAACCTTCGTTATATTCTCCAGTAGCCAAAATCAAGAAATCACTAGCATACAATTCAATTTCTCCACTAGTTAAATTTCTTGATTTGACATTCCATTTCTTTTCCCATTGTTGTAAAAGGCTGATTCAATACAAGTTTGGAATTTTGGCTTGATATTGACATTCCTTTTGGGGTTGTATGTGCCTTATTACATCTAGGGGGTACCCTGGGTCGTGACAATAGTACCCGCTATGGGCACTATTAGTTTTTAGTAATGTCATTTGGGTTGACAAATGCGCCGGCAACTTTCTTGAGTTTGATGAATGGTGTGTTCAAACCATTCCTGGATTATTTTGTGATTGTCCTCATTGTTGATATTTTGGTGTATTCAAAGAGTAAGGAAGAACATGTCGACCATCTTCATATTGTACTGGGTATTCTTGGGAGACAAAAGTTATATGCCAAATTTTCCAACTGTGAGTTCTGGTTGGATTCAGTTGCCTTTTTGGGGCATGTAGTTTCAAGGAAGGGGTAATGGTAGATCCCCAAAAGATTGAAGCGGTTAAGAGTTGAGTTCTACCTGGATCTGTGACTAAAGTTTGGAGTTGTGTGGGGCTCACTAGCTACTATCATCGCTTCGGAAAGAACTTTGCTTCTATTGCCACGCATCTGACAAAGTTGACCAAAAAGGAGGTACCTTTGGAATGTACCAAAAAATGTGATAGGAGCTTTCAAAAGCTCAAGACTCTTTTGACCACATCACCTATTCTAACACTATTGGTGGAAGGTAAAGATTTTATAGTTTATTGTGATGCGTCTCATTCAGGTTTGGGTGTTATGTTAATTCAGGATAAGAATGTTATAGCTTATGCATAACGGCAGTTGAAGGTACATGACAGGAATTACCCAACACATGATTTAGAGTTGGAAGCAGTGGTGTTTGCTCTTAATATTTGGCGGCATTACCTCTATGGTGTCAAGTGTGAGGTGCTTAGTGATCATCGTAGTCTAAAACAAGTGTTCGCTCAAAAGGATCTGAATTGGAGACAACGATGGTGGATAGAGTTATTCAAGGATTATGCTATGACCATCCGGTATCACCCGGGTAAGGCTAATATAGCAGACACACTAAGTCAGAAGGCGCTGAGTATGGGTAGTCTAGCTTGCTTGAGTGTATCCAAATAACCTTTGGCTTAGGAAATTCAAACCTTGGAATCTAAGTTCATGCAGTTGGGAATCTTAGAGAAAGATGGGGTGTTAGCTAGAATTGAGGTAAGGGACACGTTCATGGAGGAGATCAGGGCCAAACAGTTTGAGGATGAGAATTTGAATGAGCTCAGAAAGAAAATAGAGGGAAGACCAAGATGCAACTTTAGATGCGGGGGGAGGGGTGGTCTAAGTTTTAAAGGAAGGATTTGTGTTCCTCGAGTAGATGACTTGATTCAAAATTTGTTGACAGAATCTCATCGTTCACATTATTCTATTAATCCATGGGTGACCAAGATGTACCGAGATTTGAAGCGACTTTATTGGTGGTCTGGCATAAAGAAAGACATAGCAGAATTTGTGGCTAAGTGTCAAAATTGACAACAAGTAAAATATGAGCATCAATGGCCTGCAGGTTTGCTCCAGAGAATGCCAATTTCGGAATGGAAGTGGGAAAGGATAGCTATGGATTTTGTGGTTGGTCTTCCCAAGACTTTGGGGAAGTTTGATTCCATTTGGATAGTGGTTGATAGATTAACTAAGTCAGCCCATTTTATTTCGGTCAGAATAGATTATAATGCTCAACAGTTGGCTAAAGTTTATGTGAAAGAGATAGTGAGGATGCATGGGGTGCCCCATTCTATCATCTCAGATCATGGTACACAGTTCACCTTCAAATTTTGGATAAAATTACATGATAAATTGGGCACTCAACTCACTTTTAGTACAACTGTTCATCCACATATGGACGAGCAGTCAGAGTGGACTATTCAAGTGCTAGAACATATGTTGAGGGCATGTGTGATTGACTTTAAAGGACATTAGGACAAGTTCCTACCTTTGTGTGAGTTATCCTCTAATAACAGTTACCACTCCAGCATTGATATGGCACCATTTGAGGAACTTTATGGGAGGGGATGTAGATCACCCATAGAATGGTTAGAGGCTGGAGATGTGAATCTTTATGAGGTTGATTTAGTGAATGATGGTCAACATAAAGTGAAGAGTATTCAAGCTAATCTTTTAGCAACCTAGAGAAGACAGAAAAAGTATGCAAACCAAAAGGTAAGAGACATGACATTTTAGACTGGTGAGATGGTTCTTATTAAGGTGTCACCCATGCAAGGGGTGGTGAGATTTGGCAAGAAGGGCAAGCTTAGTCTTCAAAACATGAGTCCATTTAAGATTCTTGACTGTGTAGGGCCAGTGGCTTATAGATTGGCTTTAACACCTAACTTATCTGGAATTCATCCAGTGTTTCATGTGTCCATGTTGAAGAGGTACCATAGGGATGGAGATAACATCATAAAGTGGGACTCAGTATTATTATACAAAGATCTTCAGTATGGGGAGGAGCTGGTTGCAATTCTTGATCGTAATGTACGGAAGTTGAGGACCAAAGAGATTAACTCCGTAAAGTTCAATGGAAGCATAATCCGATTGAGAAAGCTACTCGAGAAACCTAGAAGGACATGCGATAAAAGTATCTTCAGTTCTTCGTCTATTAAGGTACTACTCCACTCTTGCTTTAGCCTGTTTTACTAATTTTTCACTCGGGAACAAGTGATGGTAAATTGGTATCTATTGTAACGACCTACTCCCATCATTATAGAAAAGCCAACGTGGAAAAATTTTGGGCCAGAAATTTTTTTGGTATTAACTTGAGAATTTCTAGCCAAGTCCAGATTTGGACGAAATCAGAGTCAGTGAGGTCTAGGGAGATCTGGTATTAAATGAGAGATCTAATTATGAATTTAATCATATGAGTAGATAGCTAAGACGTTAAAAACCTATACAACTTTACAGAATCAAATTCAGGCAAGTAGAACTCCAGAAACTGATCTTAGCGTGAACGGGTAGTTTCTGAGTGTCATGGGTTGAAGGTGTGTTGTAAAATGGGGGTTTGTAACTTAACTTTTGACTCTTTGTTTCCGTGTAAACCACCAGGGTGGGAATTTTCCCTCCAGGGTGGGGCTGCTTTGGCATGGTGGGGGCCGCCATAGTGGGCAAGTCACGACTTAAGTTGGAAATAAACCCCAAAAATTATTCTGTAAACTACATTCTTAAGATCTAGGAGACGACCCTAGGAGATTTCTTGATAGTTTTCCACTAGTTTTGGTGCAAAACGTAAGGTTCATACTCCCCTAATCCATTTTTTCGATTCGTAGAACTTAGATTCTTGGTTATTAATAATTGGGGAGGGTTTTTGGTCTGAATTTGGTGGTGGAAATAATCCCTAGATGCACCTTAGGATCATGGGTTTGTTCCTGGGTTATTGGGTTTGTTATAATCCGGGTAAATTAGACCTTAATTAGTGATCCTTGCATTATATTACTCTTTTGTAGACCTAGAACAAACGGAAATAATCCGGAAAGGGAAGAATCAAGTTTCTTAGGAGGATTCATGCTTGGTTTCGAGGTAGGTGATGGTTTGATTTCATGTTTGTGTGATGTATGTTAGTATTTGCTTTATTGTAATGCATTTATGTATGTTAATGTTGCACTATTGATCACATCCACTACAAGAAAATGTACGTACGACGACATTAATTTGGTGACATTTGAAACAAATGTCGGAAAATAAAGAATTTCACGACATTTAAGAACAAAATGTCATAAAACAATGACATTTGATGTCAAAATGTCGTAAAATATAAATGACATTTGGTCCAAAAATGTCACTATGATAATGACATTTATTGCAAAATGTCGTTGTTTTTAGCGACATTTAGCGAAAATGTCATTAAAATATGACATTTTGCTACAAATGTCGAATATAATATGATATTTATTACAAAATGTCATTGGTTTTAGTGACATTTAGAAAAAAAATCGCTTAAACAATGACATTTAATATAAATGTCAAATATATTATGACATTTACTGCAAAATGTCATTGATTTTAGTGACATTTAGAAAAAATGACACTAAAATAGTGACATTTAGAAAAAATGTCACTAAAATAG